CATAGTTATATGCATTTAATATATATATATATATATATATATATATATATATATATATATATATATATATATATACACACATTCAATATTAGATGCCCATATAATACATATATAAACACACGGCATATATACATTTAATACATATATATACACTTTTTATACATACATACATATATATATATATATATATATATATATATATATATATATATATATATAAAATATATATGTGCATTTAATATATATATATATAAACATTTAATACATATATATATGTACATAAATCCTATATATATATATATATATATATATATATATATATGTATATATATATTTATATAAAAAATATATATATATATATATATATATATATATATATATATATATATATATATATTATTATTTTTTTTATCTTTCTTAATTCATTTTCATAAGTGGGGGAATATTTATAAACTTAATTTACAACTTTGAATTAAAATCGAAAAATTTGTCACGGATTAAAAATTGAATAAGTCTTAATTATCCAAAGTAATGAATTTTTTTTTCAGCGACTTAATTTACCATATTTGACAAAAAGCGAAATTAGGAGACAAAAAACGCGAAGAATGAAATTCAATTATCAATAAGTATGGAGCAGGAATTTGTTAGTTCTTTCAAAGGAATAGAAGTGAAGAGTAAACAATTAAATGAATACGTCAGTGACAGACGTAATCGAATTCATATGTACGTGAATACATTATGGATAAAGATCTAATTAAAAATACCCGCTAATAAATTCCTAAACGCCCCAATATTATTAACTAAACTAGAGAGAGCAAAAAAAAAAAAAAAAAAAAGCAGTAGGGAATCGTTTGTATTCAATTTGTGTACAGGAAATATTAAAATTTAACTTCTTTTCTTTCTTTTAAGCAAATGTCGATTTTTTTCTCCGTTTATTCTGTTTTCCATAATATATATATAAAAAAAAACATGATTTTCTGTCCGTCAATCTTTATCAGCGTGTGACATTGCATCCATGTATATGATGTTTATTATAGGACAGTGCTACTCAAAGTTGTGGTCCGTGGACCGGTGCCGATACGAGAACCCTCAACTACCTGTAAACGGCCAGTGTCCAGGCCATGCTAAGGAATCATTTCTAAAGATTAAGGTTATGTAATTTCTGATTTTGTGTTAATAAACAACTTAATTTTTTTTTATTACTTTTTATTTTTTTTTTATTACTTTTGTTTTGATATTGAATTATATTTTTGCAAAATAAATGGAACATAAATAATAGTCAGCTTTTAATATATCATTATTTTTTATCGTCTCCGCTATAAAATAAATATTACAGGTACGTGACACATTGAGAAAAAAAAATTGCCGGTGCGCCATATTATATAGTTTTAGAAGCCCAGCTGTAGAGAAGAGTTCATGGGAACAAAGGCACAGGGGAGCTACTTTATGACGGTGAGAATGTGACTGAAGCCGAGATGCCAGATCAGTATCAATAATATTGCAGATTCTTCTTTTCATTTTAGAAGCCCTGCTGTAGAGGAGAATTCATGACAACAAAGGCACAGGGAAACTACTTTATGACGGTGAGAATGTGACTGAAGCCGAGATGCCAGATCAGTATCAATAACATTGCAGATTGTTCTTTTCATTTGAGAAGCCCTGCTGTAGAGGAGAATTCATGACAACAAAGGCACAGGGAAACTACTTTATGACGGTGAGAATGTGACTGAAGCCGAGATGCCAGATCAGTATCAATAACATTGCAGATTCTTCTTTTCATTTGAGAAGCCCTGCTGTAGAGGAGAATTCATGACAACAAAGGCACAGGGAAACTACTTTATGACGGTGAGAATGTGACTGAAGCCGAGATGCCAGATCAGTATCAATAACATTGCAGATTCTTCTTTTCATTTGAGAAGCACTGCTGTAGAGGAGATTTCATGAGAACAAAGGCACAGGGAAACTACTTTATGACGGTGAGAATGTGACTGAAGCCGAGATGCCAGATCAGTATCAATAACATTGCAGATTCTTCTTTTCATTTGAGAAGCAGGGTCACATTGCATCCATGTATATAATGTATATTATAGGACATTGCTACTCAGAGTTGTGGTCCGTGGACCGGTGCCGATACGAAAACCCTCAACTTCCTGTAAGCGGCCAGTGTCCAGGCTATGCTAAGGAATCATTTCTAAAGATTAAGGTTATGTAATTTCTGTTTTTGTGTTAATAAACAGCTTTTTTTATTACTTTTTATATGTTTTGATATTGAATTACGATTTTGCAAAAGAAATGGGACATAAAAAAAAAATAGTCAGCTTTTATTATATTTAATATTTTTATCGTTCCCGGTATAAAATAAATATTATCACGAAATATTACAGGTATATGACACATTGAGAAAAAAAAAAATTGCCGGCCCGCCATATCAGATAGTTTGAGAAGCACTGCTGTAGAGGAGTGTTCATGACAACAAAGCCACAGGGGAGCTACTTTACGGCGGTGAGAAAGTGACTGAAGCCGAGATGCCAGATCAGTATCAATAACATTGCAGATTCTTCTTTCCATTTGAGAAGCACTGCTGTAGAGGAGTGTTTATGACAACAAAGCCACAGGGGGGCTACTTTATGACGGTGAGAAAGTGACTGAAACTGAGATGCCAGATCAGTATCAATAACATTGCAGATTCTTCTTTTCATTTGAGAAACACTGTGTCACATTACATCCATGCATATAATGTATATTATAGGACATTGCTACTGAAAGTTGTGGTCCGTGGAAGCTGAGGCTGAGATACCAGATCAGCATCAATATCATTTGAGAAGCACTGTTATAGAGGACACGGTAGAGTAATGATTCTTTTCTTTTTTCTTTTTGTGTGCCATGTTCTTTCAGGGCGTAAGCGAACATGGCTCTCCACCTCTTTCTATCCTTGCATCTCTCAACAAGTTCCTTCCCTCTGCTTCCCCACCCCTGATCACTTTCTGTCATCAACTTGCTTAACCCCGCCAGGTATGTCACGCGTTGTTTTTCCTTGTCTCCCTTTCCCTCTATTCGACCTGAGAGTATCAGATTCTCCAGGCCCTCATTTCTCATTAGCTGTCCCAGAAACTTCAGCTGCCTCTTCCTGATATTAAGTATAAGCCTCCTATTTGTTTGCATCCTCTCTGACCTCATCGTTGCTCACGCGCTCGGTCCATGATATCCTTAGCATCCTTCTTGTTTACTAATCATCTGAGAATGACGCTTTGTTTTCCCTTGTCTCTCTTTCCCTCTATTTGACCCGTGAGTATCAGATTCTCCAGGCCCTTCTTCCTCATTATATGTCCCAGAAACTTCAGGTACCTCTTCATGATATTAAGCATAAGCCTCCTCCTTGTTTGCAACCTCCCTAAGACATTATCTTTGTTCACACGCAGGATCCATGATATCCTCAGCATCCTATAGAACCACATCTGTGTCGCCTCGAGTCTCTTCTTCATCTCTGAGGAAATCATCCAACATTCGCTGCCGTAAAGAACGACAGATGTCACATAACAGCTCAGAATTCTTTACTTTGTTACTCTGCCTAGATGTTGGAATGTGTTCTTGGCCATCCCAATACGTCTAGGGATCTCAGTGTCGCACTTACCATCCTCTGTTAAGACGCTTCCCAGATATGTAAACTTCCGCGTCTGCTTGATTCTAGTGTTGCCAGCCTGCAAATCGTATTTTGGGCTCATCCTTTTACTGATGATCATTCATTCTGTCTTCTTGTAGTTTATGCTTAGTCCTTTCTTCTAACTCTCCGTCGCTACCTTCTGTAAAGGATTTTGTAATTTCTTTTGCGTGTCTGCTATCAGTACTGTGTCATTTGCGTATCTTACGTTGTTAAGATTGTGACCGCCAATGCTAAATCCAAGTAGGGTTTCCAATTCTCTCGGGATTTCCTCGCTGTATAGGTTGAACAGGTCGGGTGAGAAGACGCATCCTTGCCTTACGGTCCTTTGTATTTTTGTATATTCACTGAACTCGTTCCCTATGCGCATGCATGCTGTTTGCTGCCAGTATAGGTTCTTGATTATTCTGATATCTTTCCCGAATATATCGAGGTTGCTGAGCAGTTCCATTAGATCCTTGTGACGTACTTTGTCGAAGCCTTTTCATAGTTAATAAAAGATAGATACACGTCCTTCTGCATTTGTAATTAAAGTCACCAAACACAAATATATTTGCAAACGGGTGTAGGGAGATGGCCTTGTCTATATTATCAGAAATAGCACACAACAGTCAAGAGAGGAAGGAGAACGGTCGAGAAAGAAGAGATAGTAGTCGGAATTAAGTAGAGACAGACGGAGACACATGTAAGTGTGGTACGGAGATTCAAGACAGGATTACCTGGCCAGTGGCAGATGTCCATGGACATAAACTCCCAGGCCATGTATGTGAACATTAGAGTCCTTTCTAAGGAGAGAAAGATAGCCAAGAATCAAGAAATCAGTGAATGGAATTGAAGACTTAAGATTAATTTTGCAGTGGGCTAGAATGTCTGGAGACTTTTCGAAGTGGAACGATTCCACATTGAAGACATTGTCACGGATACCACGAATATTGGAGAATGAAAGTTTGGGGTGCTTACGTGATTTTTGTTGAGCTAGTTTAGTTTATATCACTGGTATTTTATAGTCATGGCGTTTTTTCTTTCTTTTTTGGTAAGGAAATGTCTAGAGTAGTAGTAGCAGTCTGTTGTCTAATGTAACATGTGCAGGAAGAGAACTGATGCAGACTGCAACATAGTCTGACCTCGCGGTTACCCACCGGAGCTGCTTGCAGGGACACCCTTCCATGCGTGACATGGCAGTGCAAGAACCCAGATATTATGCAACTGTTGATAAGAGAAGCCTCTCAAGACGCTATGTAAAAGTTTGGGCTCTTTTCTCCCAGTCGGGAACAGCAACCAGAAAATTGATCTATAGCTTCAACAGATGTCTTAACATTATTTTCAAAACCTATGACTGGGCATGCGGCCATATCACGTCGAAACAATGGTTCCTGTACGATCAGCGAAGTTAAGCAACGTCAAGCCTCGTTAGAACCTAGATGGGTATCCGCTTGGGAAAATCAGGTGCTGTAACCTTGGTTGTATGGATTCTGCAATGGATAATGGCTCGGAATTGTTCGGATTCTAGTCGAGTTCATTACATTTAGTTACGTGCTAATGACCTTGGGAAAAGGCATAAAACCATCTCTTCCCCCACCTCAGATAGTTGAACGTCTATCGCAACTAAGCGGCTTCACACTACGCACTTTTCTCCGTTACTACAGCAAAAGTAAATTTTTGATCACACCTCACAAATGTCCATTTTATGAGTTACTGTGAGAAAATGAATTTAGTTTACATTTATAATTGTATAAGGGCCTCAAAATAAGGAATTAAAGTATAAATGATACAATTTTTTATGAGTGAAAAATGGTGCGACTAATTTATCCGCGAAAGCCCTAAAAAATTAATATAATTACAAGACATTGTCTATGTTTCTTAGATGAAGAATTGCAACTGTTAACACTATTTACATCATTAGGACAGTTGTCCTCATCTTTATTGTCATATTCACGACGTTTCGGTCGTTGTACGCCCCGGTATTCGTCATACGTTAGAATTTCGAACCAAACCCTTTATTTAGTCCACGGGGTAGATTGTTCTAATTACACGAGTTACTTTTTTTTTTTAATATCTCAGTATGAGTTATTTCCCTTTAGTAACTCAACTCTCCAGGTTTTTCTTCCTTCTGTTTTTTGCTTATAACTCTTTGGATCAAGTCACTGAAGAAGGTGAATTTCACAACGTACAACGCTCGAAACGTTGAGAATGTAGCAATAACTATGAGGACAACAGATCGAACGATATAAATAGTGTAAATAGTTTACAGAACTTTTTCAGGGATTATTCGGTAATATACAGGGTGTCATTAAAGTTCGTGTGCATTTAAAAAGAACATTATAACTTTATTTGTCTTTGCGATAGAAATAATCTGTAAAAAATGTTATAAAGTTTAATGTACCTAGTTTTAAGTATAGCTAAAATAACTAATGTGATTTCAGGCATTACTGTAAATCAGTTGGCAAATGTTTTCTGTGAACTGCAAAATCGTATTACCCTTTGTATTGCTAATGATTGAAGACATGTGAAACTTAAATAAAATTTCAATAAAACCTTACAAAAAATAGATTTCCTTCTTTCTAATCCTTTTTACAAATTATTTCTATCGCAAATACAAATAAAGTTATAGATTTTTTAAAGAGCACACAATCTTTATGGACACTTGTGTAAAATTCTTCTTAAAGGCTTTTTTATAATTAAATTTTATTGAAATATTTTCAGTGAATTAAAATATATATACGTACAGGAAAACGTACACATAACACATCTGAATGAAATCAAAATAGACATCTGTGTCCTGAGGCTTGACCCACCACCACCCCACCCCGGGCTGCAAGAAAAAACTATGGAACGAAATTTTAGACCGTTTGAAGTTGTTTTCTTGACACCCTATAGGTAAACGGAATATAGTTTGATGATTAATGTCTGTTCACTTACAGTACCACAATGTAGATTCGAAATTTGATTGTCTTGCCGTCAGCGAAGGGACGGGTTACCAAACTGATTTAAAAGTTAGAAGACAAATACAGGTTGGACTAAAAGTAGGATCATAATTGTTTCACGATTTATTACTCGTTTAAGATCTAATTTATCCAAATGATAATTCCAAAAACAGTATTCCATATAACTTATTCACATGAGTTCATGACCTGGGCCAAAAATAGGCTTACTATTCGTTTCAGGTTTATCACAGCTCAGAACCAGAGCTGTCTTCGCCAAACTGTTCTTTCAGCAAGATGGAACACCTCTCCATTACGATTTAGCAGTAAGCGTCTACCTTATTCAACCCTTTTCACAGTGTTGATTCGGAATGAGCACCAGCATCAAATGGCGACCACTTTCACCTGAAAATCAATGCATTTATTTTTTTTTTGGTGGGGGGGTAGTAGCAAAGGACATGGATTAGGAAAGAAATCCCTACAAATGGAGGAATTAAAAGATTACATCACAAATGTGTTTATTTAAATGGATGCAGATTGGAATATGTGCTGTGCTACGTGCCATATTGCTCTGAAGAGTTTCGAGGAATGTTGCAAATGAGAACATGAATATGAAAAAAAAAAATCTTCGCAGAAAGTAAGCAAATCGAACGACCAAGTCGAATAGAAAACAAATACAGGGTGGGCGAAAAGTAGGGTTATAATTGTTTATTTATTTCACAATTTAGATCTAATTTATCCAAATCATAATTCCCAAACCGGTATTCGATATTCCTTATTCACGTTTTGGCACAAAGGGACTACCCAACCAAACATTTTCAACATTGGTTCGGAAGAAGGAGCAGCAATTAATGTCCACCATGTTCACTTGATCTCAATCCAATGGATTTCTTTTTGGGGAGAATAGTAAAGAACAAAGGTTTTCTGAAAGAAATCCCCACACGGGGGACGAATGAAAAGAGTACATCTGAGAAGAATTTATTTGAACCTTTTCAAAGCGTTTGTTCGAAAAAAGAGGCATAATCGAATGAGCACCATGTTCACCTGGCCAAACATCAGTGGATTTCTTTTTGGGGGCTTTTTGTTAGTGAAGAACGTTTATGAGAGAAAACTCCACACAGTGGACTAATGAAAAGAATACCTCTCAGAAGTATTTATTTAAGAAGATGCAGCGCACACACACTCCAATTACTTTTCAGGGAAATCTTGTACATAATAGCGGAAAGAAGAAATACTTTAAATTCTTCTGATGATACTTAGATCAAATTTTAAGATCTCAGAACTTATATATATATATATATATATATATATATATATATATATATATATATATATATATATATATATATATATATATATATATAATCGACTCTCCTGTCGCGTTCGACGTATGAGGGTCAGGCCGATAAGTCCTCAGGAAACCGACGTCCTGACACCGGCACATGAGATTTGTTTATAGTGGTGAAGGCCTTGTGCAGGACCAGCCACACTTTTGGAGGGACGAATACAGAAACCTGGTGCACCGAATGCATGCCACAAGGTTCCCAAACGGCCCTCGGCAGGTTTTAAATTCAGAGTTGTCCTTCTCCTAGACCAGTTGCCATCCAAGGCTATAGAACCCAGTCTGTCCTGCTATTTTACCCATAGCTGGAGGGAAATGAAGAGGATACATACCTTTCCCAAGGGGATTAGCACGTAAAGTGAATGCAGTGGATTCGACTGGAATTATAATATATATATATATATATATATATATATATATATATATATATATATAAACCTTAGAGATTAGGACTCTCCACAATTTCCTGTCCTTTGCAGCTCCTAATAAATTTTGTCTTTTTTCTTAACACTCCAAAAGCCTGTTGTGCTTTTCATTTACTCAAGCTTAGTCGTTTGGTTATCCATTGTTTTCCTTTGTCTCTCTTAACTTCAGTATGTCCTGTGAGTGTTAATTTTTCCAAGCCGTCTTTTTTTCATTATGGACCCTAGAAATTTCAAATGTCTCTTCCTAATGTTGAGTATAAGTTTCCATTTTGTTTCAATTTTCCCTACAATCTCATCGTTGCTCACATGTAGAGCTAGATTTCTCTTGCTTCAAGTCGCATTTTCACCTTTGAATCGACTGTCCAACATTCACTGCAATATAGGGTGACTGATATCACGTAACACTTAAGTAGTCTTTTCTGTATTTCTAACGATATTTTTCCCTTTTCTTATTACATTACTGAGCTTTTGGAAGGCATCGTTCTCTGTTCCAATGGGTCACCAGATTTCAGAAATACATATAAATGTTGAAGGCTCTAAAAAAGATTAAAAATATCATTTAATAATCAAAGAATAATTTCGACTTTCCTCTTCATAACAACGTAACAGTTTTGACGATAAAATATGGTTTCCATTAAGTTTACGAAAAGTTTTTTCATCGTCTATGCTCATTTTTAAGCAAACCTTTGGGAGGTATCTACAACCTTGTACAAAACAAAACGAATAAGTCTGTTATTATTTATATGTTTGTCGTATTTTTCCAATGAAACATAACCCAGTGCACATGTTTGTACTTCGTATATCAATTCAATGTAGTTTTTCCTTTCAGATTAACCACAGATTCTCAATTGGATTGAAATCAAGAAAACTTCCGAGTCAGTACTTTGATTTGCGCACTGGTAAGTCTTGCAAGTGTGTTCATGCATCGTTACAATTTTCGTAAGTTTCCTTGGAGTAACGTACATCGCAGACGATGGCCGTAGGACAACTAATCGACAGTCGGGACAATAGTGTCTGGGCGTGATAACAATCTAATGCAATCACGGATGACGCAATATTTTTCAAGGCCAAACAAATTTCATCATACACCCCGAAAATACACTACAAATGACCTAATTTGAGGGAAAAATAGAAATCGACTACACCCTGTCACTCCAGTGGATCGTATGGTAAAAGAAAGGAAACTAAAGCGGTTGTTTCAATAAATCTGCAAAAGGGTGTATATATAATATATGTATTTTCGCATTTCGAAATTGCCCCAAAACATTATTTCTAGTTCAGTACACATACACTTGTCAGACGTGTTTATAAACGGTATATTTTTATGCCAATAAAAGGTAAGGAGTGGAATTTTATTTCGTTCTTCTTTCTCGATCATTTCCAATTTTTGTCCATTTCAGATGATTTGATATGTCGCCAACTGTAAATTTCAACTCATTTATCAAAACCTCTTCCTCACGTCATTCTCTCTGGGATATTTTAACTTTCTGTTTGCTCTTTCATGTTTCTATCTATCTATCTATCTATCTATCTATCTATCTATCTATCTATCTATCTATCTCATTCTGTTCAAATCTATCACAGCTTGATCATATCTACACATCTCTCTCTCTCCCTATATATATATATATATATATATATATATATATATAATTCTGTTTGCATCTATCTATCTCATTTTGTTCAAATCTATCTATCTATCTCATTCTATTCAAAACTATCTCAGTTTGATCATATCTATACACCTATATATATATATATATATAT